GTTACTGACAGTGACACTCAAACGAATGTTAGAAAATTGCAGTGATTTAGAAATTGAGTGTTGTTTTGAACACTATTCGAACAGACTAGTCGCCTGACAACAAAAAAGCACGTGGCGAAGCCATCCGAAACGACGTTTAGTGAATATAATATTATCATATTGCTCAGAACAATTTCTCAAAATCAATAGATCAGTGATGTGTGGTAGTGTATTAGCACCATAAAGGATTTTATTTTATAAGTTAAAGTGGATTCACGCGTAAAATCAAATACATCGCTTAATATTTCCAATATGAAACTTTTCTATCTAAACAACTTACAAATTCCTGTAATGGCACAAAGGCTAAGTAACAGACCAAAGTTTAATGATAAATATTTGTTCACGTAACAGCGCGTGTTCATCTCCTGGCTAGTGTACTATTTCCCGCTTCACAAGTACTAAGTTTTATGACGTAATTTCTGCAGAGGCGCAGAAAACTTAAAACTGAAACTTCAGAGCGAAAAAACGTTTGTACGTAAGTATGCTAAAATTAATTGTAAAACGTCAGGCAGGTTAAGTTCGGAAATTAATCACTAGAATTTTTGTGATATGATTAATACGCCTGCCAGATGACATTCTAACGTGGATATACAAAGTTTCATAAGAAAGAATAGTCCGTTGACCTTGTTGCAACAAGTCACCCCTTATAACCAGACATTGAGACCAGCGTTCATTGTTTTGAGTATTTAGGTTTCGTATCTAAAGTTCAAATTCACGTAGAATGTATCATTTGATAACTAGGGGCCGTTTTGAGATCTTCAATGCAGAGGCGTGCATATGTCATATTTACACTAGTCCTTCTGACTATGGATTTATGATTAGCTAGATTAATGAAGATTAATTTGTGTTAATTTTAGTTACGTCCACCTATTTTATTGTCACAGAAATTATATTTTGTTCAGTTTTAATTCAAAAACAAAACCGACTCGGGCCTAAAATTTGTAAAATTAATTACACTAGTACTAAAGTAGTCCTATTATTCAAACCAATCGGAGAACCATATTGTGAAGATATACGTAATTGGCTCACAATGAACTTTTGGTGTGCTAGTGTGTTTAACTTACTGCATATCAAAAGTTCATTGTAAAATCTGTTTTTTCATTACTTAAATTGTCGTACTAGAAAATTTCTATATACTGGCGATCTTCTTTATTGTTCCACAGAACTAAATATAACAACGAAAACCCGCATCTTCCCCTTGAAGTTAATAATACGAGATTGAGTGTGGGGCATGGGTCGAAGTAAATTTGTAATGAGAAGTAAAAATCGGTAATCGTCATGTCTTTCACGTGGTCGGGTTTTTGTTCTGTAACATATCATTATTTTGAAAGCAGAAAGCATCTGTGGCCCTAGGTGACTGTTTTAAAATGTGATTACATACCATCAAGTAAATATGTGGTCATTTGGAATTACTTCATTATTTGGTTTTCTCCTAGTTCTTACACTTTATTTTGTGAAATAACTTGAATATTACGTCCGCCCATTCTTAGTTTCGAAGATGGGAACTAAGTTATCTTTTGGATGTGAGTAATTTAAGAAAATTGGCAAACCCACGCCTGCTTTATCAAAATGGACAATAGCCCAGAAAAGATTGTAATTAAAGGAAGTACTTTGTTGACATAACTGAAAAACTTGTTTGATATCGGATAAACTGAATATGATGTGTATGGTTACAACGTTTCACCAGGCATAATCAGGTAAAACAACCACAATTAGTGAACTCGTAATTTGGGTAACACGAAAAACTAACGGATGGATACATTAGTATTTGATTGGTTGGGCTTAAAATGATTAGCCGGTGTTTCTGGATAAAAATGACGCACAAATAAATTAATAAACCAAAAGAAAAAAAGAGAAATAAATGTTAATTGTGTCCAAAGTAAGGGGTCGCTAAGAAAGACTTGTGAAACACAGCTGAAATCTGTTGTTTGTAATGATGCGAATAACGTGGATT